TGATTTTTTAAAATGTAAAATTGTAAAAATGATTGCTGCTACTTCTCAAGATTGGATTTAATTTCTCTTCAAAGTGCAAAGCAAAAGCACTACTTGTTGCAGGTCAATCTCAGCTCAGCCAAAGGGGAAAAAAAAAAGAAAAAAAGTCATTTGGCTTGAAGTTTTCTAGAGCATTAGGCCAACACCAAGCTATTGAATTGAAAGGGCAAACTCACTTGTAAAATCTTTGAGAAGTTTACTAGATAAGCAACCACCATAAAAGTTAATGCTTGCATTTTCAGTGCTTCTCATTTTTTTTGTACCATGTACCATGGGGCAACTTCTGCAGAAATTCAACCAGCTCACGCGCTGTGCAGTGCCACCCTGGCAGTGACTCCACGACTCTTTCACGCTGCAGCTATAAAATTATTTCTTGACTGCAGATTCCTTCTGCAAGTTACAACTATAATTAAATACATTTTAATAAACCCCCATAAAATTTACAACGTGGCTTTAAAATATATGACGATGCTATAAAAAGATGGACTAGAAATTAAAATTTTTAAATAGTGCAGAGAGGCATGTCCAAAAGAGAAAACAGAAAACTTTATCAGGTCTTCTTTGTAATCTTTATTTATAAAGATTATTTCCACTGTCAATTTACTATACTCATTCTACACTGACCTACTTCTTATTAATTTTGTCCCCCCACCTCCTTATATGCCAATTTCCCACTGATGTTTGAGTCTTTTACTAATTAAATTGAACATAGAAAAACCAAGGGGAATTCAAACACTGGAAAACAGCCCACGTGCAGGAGTGGTGCTCTCAGGAGGCTTTCTTCAAGGAAGGCTCAAGAGAGATGAAAATATCAGTCAACATTTTATGTACATACGTACATACATACATACATATCTATCTCAATCTGTGGATTTCTGTACTCTCTAAATTAAATTTTACTAGACAATGTGTGCTTCACATTTCAACTCCCACTTAACTTCAAGCAGTAAGGTCAAATCAGGAGTATGTACAGCATGCTTCTTGTAGAAGGAAGAACCAGCCCTATGCCTTTTGTATCTGCCCCATAGCATTCAAGTTGCTCATCTGTGCATGGAAAATGGAAAAGAAACATAAAAAAAAAAAGGCAATCCCATTCATACCAAAAAGTTTTTTAAAAAGCATGGAGGGCTATCACTTATGACCCAAGCAACAGTCTTGCTGTTCACCAATGTTATAACAAGACCTGACAAAATCCCAGTAAAAATTGTACAAAAATAAAAGGACAAACAACAAAAAAATAAGGACTCGAAAAACATGTTAAAAACATTACAAGAAATACATCAATGATCTACTCAACAGTAAGACATCATTATGCATAGGTTAAAAAAAAGAAAAAGTAAAATAATAGGCACATATGCCATTAAACCAACGAGATTTCAACACATGGTTTGATCTTAGTAGCAAAGAGATAAAAATGAGTTCTCCTGACCACATGACAGGAGATTTTGTTAATTTTTCCTTCAGTGAGTCAGAAGACCTTAGCCAAGATTAACTTGCAAAAGTAATACTAAGTAAAGCCTTAGAGAAAGAAAAAACAGCTATAAAGCAGTAAAAATTGTTCTTGTCTTTGTAACTACTGCTTTGAGCAATTCAAGATGGATGCAGAAAAACAGCTATGCCATCTCAATTCAGAATGTAATTCTGAAGACATTCTACCACTACAGAACTCTAATTCAAATTTGAATTATAAGAAAGGCTAGACAGTCACTTTACAACTGAAAACCATAGAAAAAAAGTGTTAATTTCTGTGTGTATAGAAAGTTAAAAACATACCCAAAATATTGGCATCTATATTGACAACATCCAAACTTAAAGATAAATATGCTATTATTCCTGTTTTCTATTTGTTGAGAGCAGCTGGCTCCTCACAAGCACTTCCAAAGACTAAACTAGATCTGCTCTGTACAATTCCAGGATGCAAGACATTAGGCCACAAGTAACACAAACAAAATTTTGACAACAAAGAAGACTCTAACTTGATTACGAGAGAAGACAACATCCATTTTCCGAAAGGGAGCCAATTGAATGAGTGTATTACTCTGAGATGCCAGCTTTTACTGCTATTTAAATATGCAATTAAAAAAAACTGTATCAAGTCATTAACATAGTACTTTTTCCATTACTAAAATTGGAATGCTGTCAAGCCAGCTAATAACAATCAACATATTCTGCATTTCAAGGTTAATGAAACAGTTCTATTCTTACAGCAAACATGACCACACCAAATTGCTGCCAAAACATTCCTGGGACTAGTGCTCAGAAGCAGAGGTCAAATCCTTAACACCATCCAGCATGAGATGAAGGACAAAGGACTATCTACTAAAAAACAAATCTAAGTGAACACAAACTTTGCCTATCACAATTAACACTTGCTGTTGCCTAACACCTGTTATTTTCAGTCAATACTGTCCCTACAGAAGCCTACTTAGTGCTTAGGTTTCTCTCCTGTAAGGAAAAAAATTATTTAAAAGAGTATGCCAACACAATCCTAGTAACAAATGTCATAATCATAAACAAACCTGCAACAGACCTTCAACCATAAATAGTAAAGTATAAGAAAGGAATGGCAAGAAAATAAAACAAAAACAACATCTACTCCACAGCTCCTGGAGTGTTTGTAATTCGGGGTGGGGGTAAGGCTTCAGAGGTGAAGCTGGAGAACACCTCTGAGAGACTGATGAATAGCAAGGGGATCATGAAGCTGGCAACAATGTTCCCTCATCCTATTTTATCCAGTTACGCCAGGCCAGGCTCACTTATTCTCCTTGTCAGTCATTTTTAATAGTCCATATTCTCCAAAGTAGCAAAACTACCTGTTAACTACATGTATATATGCTTTAAGTGTACATGCACACTGTTGAATACCACAGTTAAGATTTACTTTTTTTCAAGTCCTATATGTTTGGGGCTTGTCTATACCACTCTTAGCACACAATGTAAAAATAGCAAATGCTTAATTGAAGTCTAACTTAATCTGAAACTATTACTGCTACCTACCTTAAAGATCCATATAAAGTTTTATTAATTTCTAATTCTTTTCTGTAAATGCACAATCAAAACATTACCATCTGTATACATCTTTTCTTGCAGGTTTTCCTTTTACAGAAGAAATTATGTACACACGTAGTGATGTCAGGATCACACAGGAACCAAGAATTATCATGAATTGTGTATTTGTTGGTTAGAGTATTAAATGTGATAAATGCTCTTGAGGAAAGTGTTCTTAAAGGTTGTAATCAGCTTCTTTTAAAACTGAAGTTTGTTCTCTATAAAGCATACTTGATGGGAACTTGAATAGCATTTAATTGAAATCACTAATGCTTTCAGCTGATGCATGGCTGAGTTCGCCCAAGGAAGTTGTGTAAGTTCCTTAATATATACCCCAACCAGGACTCAGCATTTGAAGTTATAATCCTTTATTTATTAGAATAAACCAGAGTGATCTATATGACTCAGTCACCAGAGTATCACTAGCAATCAAATCAGAGAAAAGGATGTCTTTTTTGTAGCCATCTCAGTGAAAATGCTATGTTCGTGTCTTCTTGGAAAATAAATCCTGAAAGACAGCACTTCTACTGTACAATCCTGGAAGCCCACTGTTAGAGGCAAACCACAATCAGAAAAGTCTCTGATTTTCCAACACTCTTCAAATTATATTTTCAGATACTCAGAAATTTGATAAATTGATACAATTCTAATAGGTGACACTGTCATTACAGAGTTGAAAAAATTCAGGTATTGGAAAATATTTTTTTCCAATTTAGCTTCACTGTCAGAAGTGTAATTAAAAAAAAGTCTGCCTATTTTTACTCAAACTACATCTTTTAAAAGATAACAAGTATCTGTAAACAACCGTAAAATCAACTGCAGCCTTGCAATGTTGCTTGAAGTTATTTATTAGTATACTAAGTATTTGCATCAGACTCACGATCAGCCAACAATAACTGAAGCATAATCAAGATATAGGCACCTATGCAACAGCTGAAGAATGCATTAAAAACCAAAAACATGAGCATGCCACTACTACACATGGCACTTCTCCACTAGGGTGGTCGACAGAATAAATGACATTTTCTGACAGATATTCTTACTCCAGTTTAACCAGCTGATCAGAATGTAACAATATGATTAACTAAAGTCGATAAAAGCTAAAATTTCCTTGCCCTCGATACGTAAGCAGGGCAACAACGGAGATGCCTCCGAGCGCTGCCTCCCAGGCGCGGTGACACGAACCCCGGTGACGGCGCCCCGGGCCGCTGAAGGTCACACCGGGCACCGCCGGCGGGCACCGCGACCCCCGCAGCCCGGCCGCCCACTCCGCCCGAACGGAGCAAACGCAGCACTGCGTTACATTATTACAGCATCATCACCGCCAAAAGACCCCTGTCAGCTGCCAACACAGAAAGGCACCGGAATTCCTTGTCCGCCCGGGACCGCGGGGCCGGCCCCGGACACCGCCTCACGCTCGGGCACCGCGCCCCGACCGCAAGCAGCCGCGGGGAAGGGAAGCCGTATGCCCGCCGCACCTCACAGCCCAGAGGTGCCCCGGCTCGGCGGGGAGCGGCCCCGGGGCAGAGGAGGGAGGGTTGACCTGCAGGGGTCACCGCGCGGGGCACAGAGCGCGCCGCTCGCCCTCAGGCGGCACAGCCGCGCCGCGCCGGGCCGAGCGCTCACTCACCGCCCGCGCTGCGCTCCCTCCGGCGCCGCTCCTTCCCGCTGCAGCCCCGCGTGCCACCGAGCGGCGGCTGAGGAAAGGCCCCGATGGCTTCCGCTCGGCTCCCGCCCAGAACTACAGCCCCCGGTGGGCCGCTGCCAGTGACGAGCCCACAATGCGCCGGGCCGCGTGGTGCGGGCAGCCCCCGCCCCTGGGCGGGCCGGGGGGCCGGGAGCGGGGCGGGGCTCGGGCGGGTGGTGCAGCCGTCGCGCCGGCCCCAGGCCCTGACCTCAGGCGGCGGCGGCAGGAGCAGGCGCTGCTTCCCTGCGAGGCTCCGGCCGCGCCCTCAGCCGCGCTGCGGGGGGACCCGGGCGGGCCGGGGAGAGGGAGCGGCGCACACTGGGCTCGGGAGGCGGCTGCGGGGAGCGGCGCGGGGTCGCCGCGCTGGCGGGAGCGCAGCCCCGTCCCGGCCGCCGCGGGAGGCCGGAGGGAGGCGGGGGCCCCACGAGGAAGGCAAGGTACGAGCTTAACGGAGCGAGTGAGGAGCTGCGGGGGAGCCTGCGGGGCGTCCTTCCGCACTTCCCGGTGCTTTGTCACGGACGGATCATTTCACAGGACCGGGAGCTGCCTCAGCCGCTCCAAACGCTGCGGTACGAGCTGCAGCTCAGCGTCAGCAGAGCCCGGGAACGCGAGTTCGCGGTACCGGGGCTTCGGGCTCCGGAGCCTCCACACTCCCCCGGCTCACGGGCACGGGTTTCTATATCTCTTCCTGCCCTGCACTGATGTCTGCATTTGAAGCTTTGGCCAAGCTGGGATGAATGTGTCATTTTACCTGTGCAACGCTGTCCCTCTCTGCAGGACAAAAAAAAAAAAAAGTCTGCGATAGAGAAGGAAAAACGTGGAGACAGGGAAAAGGCTTATGTGGGGACATAATCCAAAACCGTATTGAAAAATGGACGCAATGTTAAACTACATAAGAAAAACAAAAAATAAAAATCTTGAAATTGTAATGTTATTTGAATAAATGTGCATCATGAACGATTCTGTTGGCTGGCTATATGCCTTTGAACTAAGTCTACAATAATTTGACTTTAGTATGTCGTAGTTATTAAGACTTGATTCTTCAGCGTAGCGTCTGTGGTTTCATGTTGCAAGCAGCAGAATAAATTGTCTTGTATAACAGAAAGAGGCATCTTCTTTCCAGGTAGGACAAAGATGCTGTGGCCATTACAGTGCTGGCCAGTATCTTGAGGCACCTGCATTCTTTTTTTTTCACTCTGCTACAGACTTCCTCAGTTAGGCAAGTTAAACCGCGATCATCTGAAGGTACTCAGTACCTACTAAGGATCTCCTTTCGTCTCCATTTGGAATATTTAATAAGGAATTACAGTATTTCTTCAAGCAAATTTTGGGGGCAAAAATATTAAGGATTATGAGTGGCTTGGATATTTGGCAGTGAATGGAGTGGTGGGGGCTTGTTAGCTTTTCAAGAGTGTTGCCTTGATTAAGTAGCACGCATAATTTAAGTGCAGGCTATACTCAAGCTTAGCTCCTTAATAAACAAAATTATCAGTTTCTGATATAGTACTTCACCTTTTTAAAGTTAACTGTCATGCAAAAATTGCATGGTAACATGGAACTACATCCTATAGCTGACTTTTTATCAGCCACCAAGTAGGATTCCTAATGGGGGCTGGAAAGCTGCCCATCAGAGAAGGACTTGGGGGTGCTGTTTGACAGCTGGCTGAAGGTGAGCCAGCAGTGTGCCCAGATGGCCAAGGCCAATGGTACCTGGCTTGTATCAGCAATAGTCTGGGAGCAGGACCAGGGAAGTGACTGTCCCTCTGTACTTGGCACTGGTGAGGCGAGGCCACACCTCAAGTACTGTGTTCAGTTTTGAGCCCCTAACAAGAAGAAAGACATTGAGGCACTGGAGGGTGTCCAGAGAAGGACAATGGAGCTGGTGAAGGGTCTACAGCACAAGTATTATAAGGAGTAGCTGAAGGAGTTGGAGTTGTTTAGCCTGGAGAAGAGGAAGCTGGGGGGGGACTTTCTCACTCTCCAAAACTACCTGAAAGGAGGTTGTAGTGAGGTGGGAGTTGGCCTCTTCTCCCAGATAACAAGTGATAGGATGACAGTAAATGGCCTCAAGTTGCACCAAAGGAGGTTTAGATTGGATCTTGGGAAAATTTTCTTCACTGAAAGGATTGTCAAGCATTGGAACAAGCTGCCCAGGGAAGTGGTAGTCGTTGTCCCTAGTAGTGTTCAAAAAACATGTAGATGGGGTACTTAGGGACATGGTTTAGTGGTGGGCCTGACATTACTGGGTTACTGGTTGGACCCTGATCTTTGAGGTCTTTTCCAACTTCAGTGATTTTACTGTTGAAGACTTGCTTATAGCTAAAGTAAATTAGCTTTGATACACTTCTTAGACATCTCTCTCACTGCCTAAGCTTTCAAAGCATCAGGCATAAGTCAGCTGCAGGACTTTCAGAGTGGCTACTGAAATCTGTGAGGGAGTTTGCTGTGAGGGAGTTTGCCTAAGTAACGTGAAAATTATTGGAGTTGCTTCCCCTCCTTTTTTTTTTTTTTGACTGAAATCCCTTACAGTAGTATTTCCTCTCTCGCTTGTGAAATGTAAAGTGCACTTGCTTCTGCCTTGCTTTTTTTTGTGAGCTAGTTCAGCTTCACACAGCTGAGATCTGACTAGCACCGCTGTGCGCCTTTGAAACAAGATTGATTTCTTTTCCTACAAACTGCCAGGGATTAATGAATCCATTCTTTTTTACTTTCTGCACTTGTGCAGTTAACTTGCAATTCAATTGTTTGTTCAAAAGTGGCAATAAGATTTCTAAACCCATAAATTAAAAGGGAAAGCTTGAGTTGACATGTGTAGTCCTCAGTGTGGAGTTTGAAATTGGTATGCTGCTTAAAGGCCCAATAGAAGAAGGCTTTCCAAGAGCTGGAGTTCTGGGGGTTTGTGTGGGTGTTAACTGACAGGAATGCCTCACAGTTGTGATTAAGGAAATTTATGTTTATCACTGGTTTATGTATTATCTTACATTGCTACTTTATTTTTTTCTAGAATAAATGGATGTATATGACTTTTCCCCTGACCTAAAGCGGTTCCATGTCTTGTTTGGTAAGTTTCTCTTTAAAAATTTTGGCTGCTGTACCTTGTTACCCAGTTATAGTTTAATATGAAAAGTTCTGGTGAAATATCTTGGTTGAAGGGATTTCCACAGTGCTGAGATGTTTAAACTTTGTTGTATCAATTTTGGTGAAGGAAACTGTTTAGTATCTCCTCTTCTGCCATGTATGTGTTTTATGCTGTTTCATTACCTCTTACTTGACTGACTTGTAGCAGACTTTCTGAGCTCCTGCTTATAGGGGCTATTTTTTAATGTTTTCCCACTGCCATGTTTAATAAATTGCAGCAACTTCACAGACATTCACTTGTTTCTGTTCTTAAGGACTGTTCCTGTATTCTGCGTACGCCAGTTGAATCAATCAGACCAGAAGAGCTATCTCAGAGCGGCACCCATGAATGCCTGGTAAGAAGAAAACAGAAAATTCAACTGCCAAGGTTAAATACAAAGCTGGTACATACTAAAAATAACCTCATTGGGGAGTATTTCTTAAACTGTTAACAGCAAAAATAACCAAAGTACTTCAGGGCTTCCACTTTGAAAGAAGGCTGTAGGTAACTAAGTGTTAATCTTGTGCCAGTTTAAAAACAAACACAGACACAAAAAACCAATAACTCATACAACTAAGTCTCAGTAATGGTAAAAGCATCGAATTGAATGTTCTGATTTGATACTCAGCATTAATGATATTTCTGCATTAAACATAAATTATTCAAAATTGCATAGTCATTTTGAGAACTGTTTTTTCGCACTGTTAGGCTGATTCTGATCTAGCCTGGATTCCCCCATCTACAGGAAGGAATGAAATGGTATTTTGCTCTTCTAATGTCTCTCATTATGAACTCCAGCTGGAAATAGGTAACATAAGTGTACCTTAAAATATTTCTTCTTCCTGTTTTCAATAGTTTATTGCTCACTGCAGTAAATATTAGATTTGGAAAATGTAGAACTACTCTTGTGTCTCCTTAGCTGAGAAAAGTGCCCAGAGCATTGCTCATGTTTGAGGAATCACTTATTTCAAGATATAAGACAAATCAACAATTACCTGAAATTTTCTCTTGATGTTTGTGCATGTGCATGTCAGTTTTCTAAATCTGTGGTACGTGACAATAAATACAGCATTAAGTACATCACGTCTTGTGACTTGGCTACCCAAGGTGATTGTTCTAAGGAAAACTGCCTTGAATCCTACTGCACATGCACATGTTTCTGTGAATATGCATGTGTTGGTCATTTAGATGTATAAGCGATACTGACAAATGTTTAAAAACTTTTAGTTGTTCTCAAAATAGCAGAGCTATGCTTCAATTTGCTGCAACTAATTTTGCAACTACTTTAGTTCTTGACATTCTTAAAGAAAAGGTCATGTTGCTATCAATTGTATTTTTAGAACTAGAAAATTATCTCTAAATATGAAGGAAATTATGTGATGGATCACTATATTTTCCAATGTTAAGGTAGCCACTTCTGGTTTCAGGAAGGAGGTTCAACAATTTAACTTCAGTCTACCTTGCACGGCATACACCTACAGACATGCAAGTTGCCGTAAGGATCACAGACCTAGAAAATTGCTCTGAAGAGCATTTGAAAGCCTTACAGGTAAAGCAACGGCATTTCTGCACAAGTCTGATGGAGACAGTGATGAATACATATGAGGTTACTGAACAGAGGTAGCCTTTGTTTATACTGGTCATTTCAGTCAAGATTTTCCCCCAAAGGAGTAGAATATAATAAACACAAGGCATGTGTAAATTTGAGAGGTGCTTTCTGAAGAAAGCACAAGTGTTTTAGAAATAATTCTGTAATTGTACAACTTCTTATTTGAAACATGTTCTGTACTCTGTAGTTAACACCGAAAGTCTGGACTATGAACAAACTAGATTTACTTCAGACGAATGCAATTATGGGCAGGTCATTCACATTTCTGGTGCAGGCTATGCACATCACCTGCAATCTTGTATAAACGCACATAGGAAACTGTTCTTTCTACTGATGTAGTTAATGCTCTTCATAAGACTGCTGTCTTGTGGTTAACACATCCACTTTCATTTAATTCCATAGAATGAGGTGGTTTTATCCCACTTTTTCCAGCATCCCAACATAATGACGTTTTGGACAGTGTTTACAGCTGGTAGCTGGCTTTGGGTCATCTCCCCATTCATGGCCTATGGTAAGGACTGTTAACTGCAATTTTGGAATAGGAAAAAGGGCTGGTACAAGTTGAACCACATGGTCCAGGAGAGCTTTTTATTTAAGCATCTCCTGTCTTGTAGAAAAAACAAACTTTCCCAAACCACTTGTTTAGAGAAGACTGCTTTACATAATCTTCCTCCCCAGTGAAGACTAGTATTGAAACTCCATTAAATTCCACGTAGTCCTAGCACCCACCGTACGAGGAATGGTAACTGGGAGATGTATTTGACTTTATACAACTGATTTTTGCCAACAGAAAACCTATCTATATTGAATAGAGGTTGGGCATAGACTTTCAGTTAACAGAAGCATGATGTGTGATCTTTGCCTGATAGATGCATCAGTTGCATCCAACTGTTCTTGATGTACCGTAGTCAATATAACAATGAGAATGCTGCTCTTGATGAATGTATATAATAAAGCAAGCACAGACAAGTAATTTAACAAGACTTGTTAGGCTTAGCTAGTTTTTTTTTCACTTTCAGGTTCAGCTAGACGCCTGCTGAAGACTTACTTTCCTGAAGGAATGAGTGAAGCTTTGATAGGGAACATTCTACTTGGTGCAATCAGAGGATTAAATTACATGCACCAGAATGGATATATTCACAGGTAGGAGAATGACAATAGGTAAGAATCAGATTACAGCATCTCATCTTAAGTATTGTCTCCTTCCTTTTTCTATATACCTTCTTGTGTCAGACAGCGCAGAAGTATTTTTTTTTTCAATACAGCAGAACCAAGTTTGTAAAAGCTTAACAGGAGCTGTATTCATACATTATTTCAAGCCAGTTGTTACAGGGATAATACATCTGCCTGGCTTTGTCTCTTTGAAGTGGAAGAGAACCAGGGTTGTAGAACGGGCTTCCTTAATTTACACCCTTTCCAGGGAAGAAGGGCCCTTCTCCAGTTTCTGAAGCTTTTTTTTCTGATCATCTCTCCTCTCTCTTGGGACTGTATTAAAAAGACAACTCATACTGAGTGAAGGACTTCCATGAAAATAATCTGCTAAATAGAACTGCATGGTAACATCTCACTATAAGTTAATGAAATATGAAAGCCTTTGTATTCTAATAGTGCTTTGAGTAATTCTTATTTATGTTACAGGAATATTAAAGCTAGCCACATTTTGATTTCAGAGGATGGGCTGGTTTCTCTCTCTGGTCTAAACAACCTCTACAGTTTAGTTAACAATGGACAAAAGTCTAAGGTGGTATATGATTTCCCCCAGTTTAGTACATCCGTGCTTCCTTGGCTGAGTCCTGAACTACTGAGACAGGTTGGTATAACACTTAATTTTTCAACGTTAGTGGCAGTATTCAAATTCTAACTTAAGTCTGCTTGTGCAATGGAAGATGTTGAACTGAAATATGTACTGAATTTTTAATTCTCCTAAAGAGAACCAGTTTTCAAGCTGTTGGTAAGGTGATGCTGTACTAAGTCTCTTTACTTGGCCTTCCTGGAAACTACAACCATCAGATTCCTAACAAAACCTGAGGTTTCCCAGTTTGATTGTTTCAATACCGTGTAGATTACAGGGTATTAGAATCTTGTCTTGAAACAGACACTTGTATTTCTGTTGGCACCGCTCAGTGGCATCAGTGATCAGTAGTGTTTTCTTTCTGTCACAGGATTTGTCTGGGTATAATATGAAGTCTGACATTTACAGTGTGGGAATTACAGCATGTGAATTAGCCAATGGACATGTTCCATTTCAGGATATGCCCCGTACTCAGGTATGATTCTAAACTCTTATTTCTACTTCAAAACATGCTGAGCATTTTTTTTGGTTTTACTCAGAAAAACCAATGCCATTACTGTTGAAGTAATGTGGCTGCTTTTTTTACTTCAAATATGCATGCTTCTTTCTAGAACAAATAATCCTTCCATTCCTGGAGTTTCACAGCTTAGCCTGAATAGCCCTTGTTGAACTCTCATACAGCTATTCCTTCCTACTAGATGCTGCTGCAAAAGCTGAAAGGTCCCACATACTATCCTTGGGATATAAATACCTTTCCCCGGGGGGAATCCAGGATGAAGAATTCCCGATCGGGGGTCGATTCTGGAATTGGTGAGAGCATGACACGCACAATGACCAGTGAAAGACTACAGATTCCCTTTTCCAAAACATTTTCACCTGCTTTCCACAACTTGGTAGAACTTTGCTTGCAACAGGACCCTGAGAAAAGGTAACCTTCTGGTGAAAACTAATTTTTTGTCACTTCAGTCTAAGACCAAGGATAGCCCACAGCTTAGGATACAGTAATTGCTTGAATGCTGTTAAAGTCAGAATTTCAGACCAGATGTACTATATAAAACAAATCACTTATGTTTGGTTTTGTAATTTAAGAATTATCTTGTCTGATAAAGGAACCATGCTTTAAAGTCATTTGACCCCTGAATTTCTTGTAATATGAATGTGCTTTGTAAAATGTAAAATTAATTTTCAGACATGCACTTTGTCTAAGAAAAAAGCAGAAATCTGAAATATCCATTTTCAATCCTATGTCTCTTTTGAATGAGGCATTAAATTCCTTGTTAAACAGAAATGTGAAAAAGCCTTTAAAAATAGATTTCTTCAGTAGTGCTTTTAGTACAAATTGAGGCATATAATGTAGGATTTGTGTGCTTCTTTTCTCATTCTTCACATTTGTCCCGTGGATGAAAAACCACAGGGCTTAAATTGACTTGTCAGTCTGGCCCATTTCCCAAAAGCAGTATTTTACTTTCCAAAACATAATTATATTGTTCATTTTATGATTCAGGCCTTCAGCAAGCAGTTTGCTTTCGCATACGTTCTTCAAACAGGTGAGTTTACTACATTTTGTAAAATGACACAGCTATAACCTAAATAAGCCACAGAAAGAGTTGGATTTCAAAAATAGTTAAGTTGCCGGGAGCCAAAAAGCATCCTGTAACAGCATACCTGTTTCAGACTTCTTTTTTTTAACAAAATGGTATTGATAGAGTATAGGAGGCATAAGAATAATCCATTTCCCTTTTGATAAAGTTGGTTTAACTAAAGCCAGCCTATCTAATAAGAATAATGGTTAATATTCTTAATTTAAATCAGAACTGCAAAGCTAATTTAATTAGTCTTGAAAGACTAATTCAACTTATTCTAGAGTGAGGAAAGTGAAATCTCTCATCCTGTTATGTTCAGTATTGTAACATGCAAAAACATGGCTCTGATTTCACAATGCTTCTAGTGAAGTCAGTTGCAAGGTTATGGAGACTTTTATATGCAGCCCTGTTTTAACTTTTTTTCTTTCTAGATAAAAGAACAAACACAGAATTCACTACTGTCTCTATTGCCACCTCCTATTCAAAATAACAGATCAGAGTTCTTGGCACTGCCCTCAACAGCAGTTGGGACTGGACTTGGACATATTACTGCAAATCAAGATGATACAGACTGGGAATTCTAAATAAATACCAAACAATCATACCTCTCCTGTGCTTCAGAGAAGGAAAATGTGATTTGTATTTGCTGCTTTAGTTTGTATGGTTAAAACAGACAAGGTATACTTGAACATGCCCTGAAGTGGCCATATTTCATTAACTTCCTCTGTTGGCATCACGAAGTGCAGTGTGCCTCACTCTCTGACTGAAAGGAAAACTGTATATAGAGAATGGCTGAATGCTTACCTCTCTCTTTCAAAGTACTTCTTAACAAGAGAGTTCCTGCTGTAATCTTACTATGTACTGTATTTTCAGCTCATATTGCTGCAGTCCACTTGTCTTTCTGCATCCAGACTTGGGTATTGTCTGTGATCTTACTTAAACAATCTATTTGTCTTTTCATTATGACTTAAATCATTTTAGCGAGGAGAAAATCTCCACTTCCAAGTTGAAATTTGAGAGTGCACAAATTAGTTGATTATGTGAATAAATGTTTGTCTCCTAAAATACATTTTTTCTTACTTGACATGCTGTCATATTTGCCAAAAGTTAGCTATGCATCATTTGTCATGCAGTTCTAATACTGCATGTTTCCCAAAGAAGTTAAGCTGCCTGGAAGTGTGACTCATGTTCTTGCATTTGTCTATATTCATAGTACAAATTTGTGCTTTTGCATCTCCATTTATTGTCGTGTCATTTTAGCAGTTAATCTGAGGACTTCTTACTATGCAAAGTAAGTCTCAAGTTATAGCAGGTACGGGTTAATTTTGAAGAATCAAATAATCTAAAGTTACTGTACATATTTTTATTTATGCTGTATTCCTGTTCACCACCAGAATTTACCAGAACTTAATACTGTTGTCTTAAAAGAACAGGCAATATGCATTAAGCTTCACTGGCACTGCTGCTGGCAAACAAGCCTCTTCTGCAAGGCACAGTTAAATTCCCTTGGATAGATTCAGCCATAATAAGCACCTAATACCCCCAAGGATCCTAGTGAATTTATCTGTTCTAAGTCAAATGAAAAGCTGTTTTTTTTCTCCCTACAATTCAGTAAGTTCTCATCTCTCACACTGTACCAGGCAACTCAAACTGAACAAAAGCAGCTTTCTTTTTTTTAAAAAAGCTGCATATTCTCATCATGTTGTAGCAAAAGTCGTGTCCCAAAGCCACTAGTATTTTATTGATGGAAGTTATGACTGTAGTAAAAAAAGCATAAATAGATATCGAATGGATATATTTTAAATTTTCAACGTAAACAACATTCCACATTAAGTCTCCAAGTCTTCCATAGCTGAGTTGGTCTGTACCACGGATTTGCCAGCAGCTTTGCCTCAAGGCCTTGAAGGCGAAATGACGAATATGCAAAACTGAGACATAACATTCTAATTGACTACATGAAAGTATTAACAAAGAACTTGAGTCTATTCATTATGCTGTGAAGAGAGCTCTATATTTCTAAAACTAACACGTGAAACTTAAGATTAAAAACCTGTCAATAAACTTACCTTATCTGCCTCCATTTATTTCTGTAATTATTGTACTTCCATTTTCACCACAGTCCAGTCATACAAACAGCCTCTCGTTACTGCAGGAAAGACATTTCACATTTATTTCAATCATTAGGTAAAATAATGGTTGTCTAAACTAGAAAATTACTCTCATCATAAAAATATGAATAACTTAATTGTGTATTCTTGGAGAAGATATTATTTTCATATAAACACTATGTTCTGAATTCTTAACCATAACAAATTTGGATTGTTTGCAAGTCAAATACATTAGATAGCATCTACAAGTAACTTTTGACTAACAGTACATGTAAAAACCAAGTCAAATAATTGAGAACACACATAAAGTTGTACATATTTTAATTAAAGACCTCTGAATAAATATTAATACTCTTAAAAAAACCCCAAACCTGTAGAAGACTTCAGGCAGCTTAACTGGCTAGTATTTGTAAGCTTTCCTGAAACAACAGTGCTCCCAACTCTATAAAAATGAACTTGGGTACTAATAACAGTGTCAGCACAAAGTGATTCAAACAACCATGTGTTCCAGTGGAGTTACTTTACTGCTGTCTCTTTCTATGAAAAAAATTGAAAAACTTATTTCTGAATGCTGTTCCAATTCTGTACTGACATAACTTTTAAAGAAAAAAATGAAGTACAATTTTTTTAAGTTAAAAAGCTCACAAGGCTTTACTCTTAGAACTACAGCTTGTCAACAACTACAGTATTTTCAAACAAAAGCAATTACGAGGCACTGTGACTTCTAATAGCTCTTAAAATAACCAGAAATAGTAGAAATTAGTCCATGGGCTGTATTTGCTGAAAGGTTTGATATGATTTTTCTTGTTAAGTGTGATACTTTCTGTTAAGGAATGATGCAAAATAAATACTAGCATTAAAAAAAATGTATAATCATATTGTTAAGAAGGTTTCAACTACCTGCCACTGAAAAGATTATCTTGGAAACAGTTCTACTGAAAAATCTGAAGGTTTTGCATACAGTTCGTGTTTTCAAAATCTGAGATTCATGATCTGTATTGCTAAGAGCCAAGCAGAGACTTTCTATTCCAAGCTCACATAGTTTTAAGCACAATTATCCATTTATTTATTTATTTATTAGAGCACTTGTTTACTCTCACACCAATGATGTGTTGTGAGCGTATGAACTGGAACTATACTTGGACTTGAAATTTTCAAGTATCTCACATTTAGGCTCAATGTAACATATTTTCAAAGGGGCTTATAAAACTAACACATTCGCAAAATCTCATGGGCAATGAAACAAGTTTATAGCCTTTTGAAATAATTGTGAAAACAACACAAATGGGTTTTTTTGCTGCCACCTTTCTTTATGCTAGCATTTAACACTATGTAAAATATCAAAATACCTGTAATAATAGAAAACTTAATTAACATTGCCATGAATATATACTCAGTGGTGTTGAGCATATATTCTCACTTAGTCTGATACCACAGCAGTTTGTGAATTTCTGACTGAATGGATTAACACTGAAAAAAAATGTGACTTACTCCAAATCAACCTGATCTGCTACACAACCTACTCACTTTAAAAAGTCTCAATGCAATAAATACCCACTGAATAGAGAGCAATTTCTTCCACTTGATGAACAGAAGTAAATATTTTTTTTTAAGTTACCAAGTTTTGCCTTCTCTCTCTCTCTTTTCCCTTCCCCCCTCTTTTCTTCAAGTGCTATCAAAGCAGTTTTTAACCTAGAGGATGGGTAAAATCATGGGAAAGTATTTTCAAACCATTGTTCTGAATATCTCTCACAAGAGGCAGATACCTAAACATACCCTGCCTTTAATGCTAATAAGTAGCTTTCCTAAAGTATATTAGGCTGTCTAATAAACCTCTAAAGCAATTAAGGTAGCTGTAATGACCTGTCCTGACGATGGCCATCCCTATCCTGTATGAATGGGGAAAAACTACTAAAATGCAGAAATAGTACACATTGAGCGAGAAAGACCTCAAAGGACTATGTGTAAGAACCCCATTTGATGTAACAGACAAGAAAAGACTTAAAGATTTAAAAAGAAAGCACTGAAAAATTGAGGTGGTCTACTAAAAACCTGCTAGCCGGATAACATTTGGTATTTAACATAATTAAACCTATCCAGAAACTTGAGACAGGATGAAGGAAAGAATATTAGTTTTAAACAGGTTCCTGTAAAAACCTCCATCATTCCCAAATGAAAACAGCTAATTCTACTCTATAAATCATATATTTCTTATCCGAAAGTCCCATGAAGTTCCTGAAAAATGGAGTGGTGGTTTTATTTTTACATATGATTACAGAATACACCATTACTACCGGATTTACCCACAAATCCAGATTCATGGAATTCATTTGTCCCTTTATGAAATCCATCTGCAATAGAGGAGAATGGATTGCTGGCAGGATGTATATGCTTTCCTCTGCTTTGTCAAAATTTATATGACATGGGTCAAGAGTGTCAATGCTGAGTTTATCTACTACAGTTTATTTTAAAAGTGTTTTTATTCTACGTTCTGATATCAATTATCTTTCTAGTTCTCACGTTTCATGCAGTCAAAAATATCCTTACAGGCAGATTTCCATTAGCCCATGTAAAATCTAGGAAGTCAGCTATAGATGAGTTTTCTTTAAATGCTTTAACGGTTTGAGATAGCTGTTGGTCTGCAGTAGCTGATGGAGCCATCACAGACTGCACCACTGTTTGAGAGCTGCCTGTATCCATCTGAAAAGCCGTGCTCTCTTCCATTTTACTGTACACACTACAGGAAAGCTACAGGGAATTGTCTGAGCGAGGGAGGACTCTGCAACTTTCGAAGTTTGAAGAAAGGATTACAAAAAGTACGGAATTATTAAAGCAAGCAGTTTTGCTCGAGGGTGGGAGCACAGGGGAGCTCATCCTTTGTGACCGAGTTTCCCGCTCGGATCCCAGACCCCGCAGTGGCGCCGCTCCCCTCAGGCCGAGTCCAGCCCGGCGACCCCGCCCCCGCCCCCCGGCGGCGCGCGGGGAGGGCGGGGACGCTGCTGAGGGCTGAGGCGGAGCGGGGGCACCGGGAGCACAGAACAGTAACAGCACCCAGGGAAAACACGGGCTTTCTGCAAGTATCTGTGGACTTACGGACCCATTTCATGCACTGCCGCACTGAGGAATGCAAGAGCACCTTTCACGCTGCTATGAGGAAAAAGTAAGAGGCAAGTAGGGCTTAGGCTTAGCTACAGTTACGTACCTGATGGTTTTCTCTCATCTCCCAAAGCCTTCACTCATTTCAGTTAATTCTGCTGCAAATAAGCAAGCGAATAATTCTGACCTAACCATAAACCCCCTAAAGTTTACCGCAGCAATACCAAAATTACTTTAAAAAGACACTTCGCAAATTAACGACACCTGGCTGCATAACGAGAAAGCTGCGTTGAGAGAGTAACATTTAAACCAAGTTGAAATTAACCAAATTTTACCTAACTGTCTTTTAAGGAGCAAAATTAGAACACTTTGGCTTTGGAGGGCCCCTGGAGGCCCGCTGGGTCCAGCCTCTGGTGAGGCTGCACAGGGCTTTGTCCACCCAAGTCCGAGGCAGCCCCAGGGATGGAGCTCCCACAGCCCCTCTGCCCCCATCCCAAGCCCTCAGTCAAAACTCCCATGGCAGCTCGTGGTACATTTTCCTTGTGCTGCCTGCGACAGCTTCCACTCATCTTTTCACTGTGCAGCTTTAAGTGTCTGTCTTACTTGTAATCATCCATTAGGTGGTTAAAGAAAGCAATCAAGACTCCCCACTTAATATTCTTCTTTTTAGGCTAAACATACACTACTAGCCGATTAAATACACTTTACCTGCTACTTTTCAGGAGTTTACAGAACCATTTCTGATTGTGCAAGACTGCTACAGCAGCAGGAATCTGATGGGAGGGAAAGCAAAGCTGTTTTTACAACACTGCCATAAATAAGGGGAAAAGAGTTTTCCCATGAACACCTGTTCAGACCTTGCATTTATACAAAATATTAGCACTGGGGAAAAATTAGACTGATTTATTTTAAACAGACTATACAACTTGAAACAGGACAAAGTACAATAATTTCTAACTAGTTTAGAGCAATTGTTTAATTGTTTCATATATGTAAAAACAAGAAATTGGCACCAACATATCCATAATTTTTTCATTAACACAAATGCATTAAAAACAATGGTATGGAAATGCACAAAGGCATTTCAGTTAAGGCTTCTACAAATATTGCATGTTCTATAATTAAACATCTATTTTGTAAACTCATTCTAAAACTTTCCAAGAAACTAAACAAAAAAGCTCAGTTAGACTCATATTCCACTGTGAGGCTTAATGGAATGAAGAATATCTTGTACTATAGATACAAGTATAGTCATCAAACTGTTTATTGTGCTTTTTATATGCCAACCTCAAACCTCATTAATTTAAATATGGACATATTCAGATCCTCCCCAAAAGATACACTGGAAAGGCAAGACTGGATTGAAATATTGATCACATTAAGTTCATTAATTCAATCCATGCTCAACCATCTAAACAAACTACTGTATATCACAATGACAGCGAATCTGGCTCTTGGCTAGCATCGCTCTGTCCAAGGGATACTTGGAAGGCCAATTCCTAATCTTAATGTCAGAAATCAAGCAGTGATGTTATCCAAGTTTTTCCTGTACTGACGTGATGCCTTAACACCCTTTTGCCTGATTTTGCCCATATTTTATGGGCAAAATTATATTTCTTACCATACCGAGATGACAGAAGTGTCATGCAGCAAAGAAAAGCCATTATTAATCCCATCTTCAGGAGGTCAGTGATTCTGTAACTCAAACACACCACATCAGGAGGAAGTGTGGTGGCAACCTACATGAGAACACTTTGTGCCTCATCCTCCATCTCCTACAGCCAAATCATGACAAGAACATCCAGTGCACAACTGGAGGAGAGCACACCCTGAATCTCTCCATCTTAATGTACAATGCAGTGCCAGCCATAATTTCACTCTACAGTTTTGCAAAAATCCATACACAAGAGCCATAACAATTTACAAAAGCCTTAAGGGCTCCTTCCCATAACAAACTGAGTGCCCCAGAACACAGCCAACAGCTGGGCAACATCTTTTAATTCTTGCAGAACTCTTTTCCCTCACTGCCAGGATTACCACAGCATTTAAGTGATGTCATGAACACTGAACTTTTAACTTAAATTTGCTGGATGGACATAAGAGAACTCAAGCCCTCGACAGGGCAGCAACAGCCCTAGTTATTCATGTTCCCATGTTTGTTTTGAAGCAACACAGGTAACAGTAAAAAAAGTTAGCACTGAAAGCACAGAAAGCTCTTTGACATTATCTGTCAAGTCTTTCATCTGGCTACTCTTAACTTCACTACTATAAAAAGTTTAGTAATTCTCCAGAGAATTTTGACAACTGCACCCCCTTTATAACCACACGTAGACATATATTAAATCAAATAATGCAGAATCAGTATGTATTAAATAACATATACAAATAGGTTTTGGGCTTTAGGTGATACTTTCTTGATAAATGGTTTTCAAACTAGCTCTTGTCTGCGTCTACTAAGGAGACTGTTTCATCCTTCAATATGTATTTATTCACATCTGCAATGCTTTCATTTTGCCAATTTAATATAAAAGAAAAAGAACGTTGGCTATCATCATCAAAACCCACCAACTGCCACTATTACTACTACATCACTGCACAGAATGTGGGTTGCTGCAGAGTTTTTAGTTTGCTTTAATAATAATTTTCTTGTAATTTTAGGAAGAAGTTTCCCATTCCATCCTAACACAAAACAACAATTTGGGGGAAATCAATCTCCATCAAAATAGGCAGAAGTACGAACATTTTCAACATCTGTGAAATTCAAGTTTCTTTAGCAAGAGCAGGGAATAAACTATTGTTCTTGCCATACAAGATAAGGAAAAATTAGAACACTCTTCTTGTGAATGGCTTTGTAATAGTTATGCACCCTGACTACTGAGAAATTAGAAGACATGGATGTATCCTGTTGGCAACACAAAACAACCGTTTGATTAGAAGATGTATTTAGGTGTTTTCATTAACTGACCAAACTTGTGACATTAAAGCTTCTTTTTCTTGTATCTAATCAACCTGAAAGAACTTGTTATCATCAAGATCTTTGTCAAGAGAACTAAACGAAGATAAAAAAAAGTGTCCTCTTTTATGGATTATTAAACAAAATCCCTGTCAATTCAATCCTTCATTCTAGCAAATACTTTTTATGACACCCAAATGCAGATTATTTTATGTTTACCAACTTGGTGGATTTTATGTTTCCTAACTCTGTTTTGTTATCATCTTCTCTTCCTTAGACTACTTTTGTCATAAGATTTGTTTTAATCTCTAGAGGATATTTAACCAAGTCAGATAAGCTAACTGCTGTCAGCATTAGTAATAAAAGCAGGTTGTTGAAGAGTGTTACAACCGTCAGAAAAGCACTGAACACCTGATCTTCTGCAACCCTGTAGTGTCTTTGGCTATGTAGGTAGCAATATTTACAAAATAAACCTTGACTTTTTGCACTAGGAATAATCTGCTTTGTAAAATAAAAAGCAAAAGTATAAAAGTTTTCACTCACATTTGGAAACTGTAACATACATAAAAAGATCAACATTAAATATATACAATACAAAAATACATTTTTTTCTTTATGAAAATTATAATACATAGCTATAATACACAACATGTTGCACCATCAGTCACAGCTACAATAGTTGCAGGTTCTTGTTCCACACTTATGGCTGGACTCTGGGTATGACATCTCCCTGGGGAAATTCCTCAATTTCAGCATGAAACATCAATTCTAAATGAGAAACAAAAAAAAATCATTTTCTTTGAAAACTTTCACCTGAATACAATTCCATTACTCCTGAAAAGCACCCTGGCATTCCCCCAAGCCTCCTGTTTTTTGTCTCAATCATATCACTGTCCTTAGAAAACTACTGTTGCCCCCCAAAATTAACAGAACTGGTGACAATGTTAGCAGGTGATCATATGTAGTACCACCCTGCATTCAACCTGGACACTGAAACAGAACTCTGAAGTACACTGAGGGACTGTTTTGAGAGTGTCAGACTTAGGAAGGAAGATTTCTGTTTAGAGACTCGTTCACTTACAGATGTATCTGCCCTGTGTTTCAGTGTTAAGTCAGCACCAGTAGAACCTGGCGAAGAAAGCATCATGCATGAATGATACTGCTCAGCTGTCACCATGGCAGCTCAGGCACGGCAAACAGCCCAAGGCCAGCACTGGAGAGCTCCTGGTGGAGAAACTGGCTGGGCACGCTAAGCAGCTGATGAAGTAGCCCTTGTGGAGTTCTGTGCTGCTGAGGGTTCTGTACTCCATACGTGTGCTTTGTCTTGCTACCTGCACATTCTTTGTATAGACCAGGCTGTGTTTGCCAACATCTGTCAACACGGTAAAGTTACACAGTCTGTACACGCAACAATGTGGTTTATCCCCTCAAGTTTGAGATTGACATATTTTTGCTATCCCATCCTTAGCAAACTAAACTTTCTCTACTGTTTGGGGTAAGTCCTAATGAATTTCTCTCTAGAAATTTCTGAAGCAGTTTTCCAGTCTTACTAGGCATATGTAAACATCAGAAAAGTTCATCAAAACTTGAGTAAAATTCTGCAACTGGATTGTTTCAATAAGTATTATTTAAAAAATGGGTTTAAAATACAATTTAAACATCTATTATAAATTTTACCATCAAGGACTGTAAAGGCTGCCACTTAGTTATTCATGTTTTTTTAACTCATTGAGTTATTAGAAATAAGCACAGTAACTGGGGACAGGTGAAATACAGACACCTGTACATTAAAATTCTAAAGCAATTTCAGGAACCATGTTCAGTCTTCAGTCTCCCAAAAACAAAACTGTGTTTTAATTCATGGTGCTCTTGGGATACCTTATCACTTTTAAGTTGAAACTTCAGATTTTTATGAACAGCATACCTTCAAGTCACAGGCTGCATGCACTTGACAGGAAAGCTAAGTTATGATACACCTTTTGGATCCCAGTTGGAACACAAAAGGAAGAAGGCCTAGTCTCTAGCAAAGCTTCTTCTGTAAAAAGAACTTGCTTGCCCCTTCCTGCAGCCTGGACCAGCACAAGTAGTCCTCTTTTGAAGTCCTGTTCTGCAAGCACAAATCTGACCTTTCAAAGCTTGGGAGTTCCCAAAACTACTGCAGTGTTCTACCGGAAATAATACTGAGCTTGAAACGCATTAAGCATTTGCAAAAGGAACATTAATAACATTAGGGAATTTTCTAAAACACAAGTAGAATAAATACATTTCAAATATTTAAAATACTGTTAAATTTATTTTTCCTTCAATGAAAAAGAGACGTGCTCTCATGTTTCAAAATTCATGTTGCTTCAGACAAATAAGGCTTTTCTTTCCTTTTTAAATGAATGCTTATCCTTTATAAAACCAAACACAGACACCAGCATCCTAAAAAGCATTTGCTATGGAAGGTTGCTAGGGGGTGCTTGTTTTCATTCAGTCACAAAATTTGTCAGGGCTAGTCTTGAACACCAAATGCAGAGCACTTGGTTCAGCAGATAAAAGCTTGAATAAACAAGCTTTATTATAAAACAAGCTTTATTATAAACAATTTTGTCTGTTAATGTTTCCTACCTTCACTGTGGTCTAGCTCTGGTCGGTAAGACAAGAAGATCCAACTTGTCCCAACTAGAACAGACACTACCAGATTCACCACAACCCATGAATGAACAATTTCTTCCTCTGTACCTGCAGTCCTGGGAAAAACACATCAACCCATTAGTCAGTTCACTGGTACACAGAGGTTACAGTAATAATTTCAACAGGGTATCATCAAAACAAGCTTGCTAAGCCAGATGTAAAAACAGAACTAACTACTTGTACCGTCATGATGGTCTTGCATTGCAAAGGCCT